CGGTACCCGCGATGATTGGCACTGTATAGACCTGTCACTCTTCCATTTTACATTCACTGTCTTTATCTCTCTCTCATCATTCGTAACCCTTTTCTTTCATGATATCATAGTGGCGATTTGTTAGAGATTACTATAGCATGGAGATTACTCAACGATTTTTTGATATTTTATTTTACTTATCTGGTGTGTACTGAAGACGATCAACGACGTTGTGGGGTTTTGTATCGATTTCAAGTACGAAGACTACCTACCTGATGTTCCCAAGCTTCAAGCAAGATATCGCGTTCGCGATCATCGTCGGACAGGAGGCGGCGCAGACATTCATCATCATCTTCCGGATCTCAAGGGAGGAAGCGCTCAAGAAGAGGGAAATCAAAAACTTCGAGAGATAGAAGACATAAGTCAGGATCACCATCGTCACGGAGAAGAAGGGCGGAGTCAGAATCTCCAAGGTGATTCTCGAGACCATTGTGAGAGCAAAAACGGAATGATTTTCCCCCACCGGGAAATCGAGCGTGGTTTATGGCGGATCTAAAGGAATAAATATTTAAACTCCGTCGGAAGATGGACAAAGTTCTCAAGATACTGGAGCAACTCACACGAAAGACAAGTGAAAAGCAGCCAGCTCCTTCGAACAAGGAAAACACCACAAAGAAGCCTTAGCTAACTCCAGACGCGCTCAAGTCCATCATTGATGAAGCACTGAAGCCGACAAAGATGAACCAAGGGGGACAAAATCAAGTTGGTCAAAGGGCAACCGGTCAGAAAAATGCAGAGGCGGAAGATAAAATAGAAAGGATGGTATCGGAAGTGCAGAAGGAGGTCAACAACCTAAAGCTACTAAAGTATGATCTGGCGGTTGTGAAGGGCGCGTTGTAGAAGATCAATGAGCCGACTCGTACCTGCACTCCGATCGTGTCGTCTTCGGTTCATCCAAACGGATATGTGGGGACAATGGTTGAACTACCAACTTCTGTACATGGTAACTGCAACATTCCGAGCCGAAGCATGCCAAGCAGAAGCGCACCGAACAAAAGCAGATTGGGACGCGTAATCCCTCCACACCCCAATAGAGGACGAACGAAGATTAATCGCAACGTGTCGCCAGTGAAGTCAAAGGCAAAACGGAGCATTAATTTCGGGGTCGAACCAATGACGGACATGTAGTTCCTTCGTCTTCACTACACAGACCTAAAGGTCTTATGCAAGATGCATGACATCAGGTACAAGGACAAGCTGCAAGCGATCTCGGCATTGAGGCAAGTTCCTTGATTGATTGCTTACAAGGGGCGGAACTTCAACCGGGATTCTGATCTTGAAACACAGATCATGCCAGATCCAGATAACATCAGAGTGTCCAATACATCTGGTGGCGACACAAGTGAGGATGATTACGAGAGCCTTAGTACAAGATCAAGCGGGAGTGATGAGTATGACTCATCCGACACATCTTCGAGCGCCGAAGATCTGTCGGGAAGGTAGAAGACACCTCAACATCAAGCGACCTCACCACAACACAAAAGTGGGAGCAGATACACAGACTATCAACGGAAATTGAGCAACTAGTTAGTACAGGGAGTTTCACCTTGGTGTAGACATATGTACGTGAGGAGGACAAAAAGACAGCCCGACAAGAGATGGACTGAACACATAAACTTGGCCAAAAATCCAAATAGAGGAGCACAGTGGAAACTATACAGTTGGCTGCACAAATTTGGTTGGGAGAAATATGTTCTCATACCCATTTGGGCGGGAGTGAGATCAGAGATAGTGATGGAAGCAACACTGATTAGGAGACTGAATCCATTCTTGAATACAAGGGGAAAAACAGACAGACTCAGAAAAACCGAAGACGAAGAAGGAGAAAAGAAGAAGAATGAAAACAATGAGGTGAATCAGAATATACCTGTTTTGTTTAAATCGGTTCGATCGGGTTACACTACGAAGTTAACATCAATACTTTAACTGAAAGCAATGATTTACTGCACAGCTGAAAAACTATAGAATGAAAAATGAAAAGTAATTAAACGAACATTCGGATCAAATATTTTGGAAATTGACAACACAAAGTTCCAGCTAAAAAAATGCAGAAAACGGATTGAAAATGGATGTATCTTTTATGTGATCCAACTGGTGCATACGGGACCGAAAACAAACAAACATAAAAATATTCTGATTAACTGCTTGAGGGCACCATGGAGACGGAGGGAACTGTATAAATTATCGTTCACTCATAATAATAAATGGAACAAAACTCTCTCTCTCTCTCTCTCTCTCTCTCTCTCTCTCTCGTGTTAGCTCTTAGTCTCATTGATTTGGCTACCTTAGGGCTGCGTTCCTGCGCCCACGCGGTAGACAATAGTGATTAGCACACCTCAAGGGCGTAGTGGAACGGCGCCGCCTTTGAGATTTTTTCAAGTCGGGGGTAGTGGAACGAGGCCCTCTTTAGGCACACTTGAGCTGCACTTGAAATCGGCGCTGCAGGTATGTGTAGACCCCCCCGATAGTTTTTTTCTTTCCCCCGTTTATTCTCCTGTTTCTAACGCCATTGTCCTGGTTGAACCTCTCATGAGCCGTTCCCGCTCATTTCAAGGGTGGACTCGAGTGTTGAGTGGAAGGAAACGTGACTCAGGTATTTTTTAATCACTTTTGCACCTCGAGTGCGCACGCGAGTTTCAAGTGGTGTGGAACGAGGCCCAATGGCCTTAGAAAAGGAGAATAAACGGGGAAAAAAACCCCATAGGGGGTTCTACACATACCTGCAGCGCCGATTTCAAGTGCAGCTCAAGTGTGCCTAGAGAGGTGACTTGAAAACCAGGTAGGTTTGCCTGGGCCGCACTTGAGCAGTCCTTGAGCTTTTCCCGCCCATTCTTTGCTAAACCTGGAACGGTGTTGGGCAAGAAAGAAACCCTTGATGAGTTTTGAGTGGTGTGGAAATCGAGGAAGTGTCGAGGGAAACGGGAAAGTGGGGGGCGTTTGGGAGGGCCGGAGGGTCAGCTGGAGCTGGTGGGGTCTCCAAAATGCGCTCGAAGACCCCAGTGCACGCCCTCCGGGGGGGCTGCGCCTCCGCGCCGTGCGCGGTACACAAACCCCGCCCGTGTGCCCAACGTCGACTTTGAAACTGTCGTACCTGTGTGAGAGGAGACGCTTGACTCTCGACGCGCTCGCTACTCTGCGTTGTTTGCGACGCTGGAGTCTTGACTGGCTACTCGGACCGTCTAGTACCCTTGGACTCGGACTTGTGTATGTCAGAGGAGGGGGGGGGGGGGAGAGGAGGAGAGAGAAGGGAGTCTCTATTGGGTCTCAACTGGCTACGCTACAAACGCACACGCACTTGACACACACGCACATACCCATGCACGCACACTCATCACATTCGCATACGCGTACATTTTCGAGCGCGGTTCGTGCAGAGTCGTGGTGGCGAAGCTCTTGCTGGGTGTTGGGGTCTGCATGGTGAAGGTCGAAGACGCTAAGGATTGGGATGTTCATTGCGTGGAGTCGTAAGGATGACCTGGCCACCATGAACGAAGGCGAGTTACTGTAATCCTCCAAGTGTGTGTGCATGTCCTCAGTTTTTCTTCCCTTTCTGTTCCTTTGTTGCTCTTTTCTTTTTATATTCTGTCGTTTCTTCGATGGATGCCACGAAGTGTGTGTGTGTGTGCGCGCGCGCCCGC